GACACTTTCCAGCTTCTCAGTGTTCCAGCTTTTCCACTACAGGAAGATGATCCTACTGCTAAATAGGAAGAAAGGGAGGGAGGAAAGGAGGAGGAGGAGGAAGTACATTCATAGATAAGAGCCCTCCTCTTCCCCACATCCTTTTGAAACACACATTCATCTTAAATGGTCTTATGCTACTTCAATCATTTCAATTTTAAGCAGCTCGTTGAGAACTATTGCTTAACCCCTAATCACCAAAATAGAACAAGATTGTTTTTATACTGAGACAAGTGTGAAACATATGGCTTTGCAAGTAGGATTGTGATTTGAACAAGGACCCTTCGAAGTGATCATGTCTCCTGAAGCAAAGGCTCCCACTGGTGTAAACAGCCATAATGACTGCAGTTCAGCAGTGCAAATCTCACCAGGCTCAAGATTGTCTCAGCCTTTCATCCTTCTGAGGTTGGTAAAATAAGGACCCAGATTGTTTTTGGGGGGGCCATATGCTGACTCTGTAAACTGCTTAGAGAGGGCTGTAAACAGAGGTGGGTTCCTACCGGTTCGCACCGGTTCGATAGAACCGGTTCGTCAAATCTACCGAACCGGTTAGAAGAGGTTCCACCAGTGGACCCGGAAAGCAGGCCACACCTACAGAAGAGGTTCCAAATTTTTTTGAAACCCACCACTGGCTGTAAAGCACTACAGAGCACTATATAAGTCTAAGTGCTATTGCTATAATAAACTTCACCAGAAAGGAAGAAGAAATAAAAGGGGAAAAAAGTACCAGTGCCCAGTAGCTCCCTATTACATGCCAATGAAGAGGTCTTACCTTCGGCTGCATAGTCCGGGGATCTTGTATTGAATGCCACTCTTTCCCATCCATGCTGTAGGCCACTTTAAACTTCTTCACAAAAGCTCGGGCCTCCGCCACGTTGATGCTGTCCCCACCTCGGGCTCCTTGGATAATCACTCCTTTCACATTCTTCGGGAGGCCCAGATCTACTTGCAGCCACTCCTCACTAGGCTGGGCTTGAGGGATGCGTGGGAACCATCCTGAGCGGCTGCTGACTAGGCGTGCCACGCTAGGAACCCAGTGATATTCTCTGGTAGAAGAAGCTGAGATCTGAGAGTCGGGGATAAGTCCCGAAAGCATCCCCAACATACTGGAACAGGGTGAATCTGTATGAAAAGGAGCAGCAGTGAGTATAGAAATGGCTACTATGCGAAATCAGGTGGGAGATAAAAATTCTGCCATGACATAGGAAGAATAATGCTCACTGCAATCAACTTCTAGGCGCTGAAGTTGATTGCAAAATATTTGAGGCTGCTTTGCTTTGCTTTATAATGGCTTTCATAGGTACCAATAATGATGTTACCTAATGAAACATTTGCAAGAAAACAAGCAAGCTCAGAAAGTATTAAGGACTCCAGCACGGGTGGATTCCTGCATCCCCATGAGACTGCAACATTACTTATGTCCTGACCCAGAATTCCCAGATTTCAAAATGCCAGTTGAGCCAAGAAGCCATTTGAAATACCTTCGCTATGTAAAAAAAATTAAAATAAAAATCAAGATGCAATGGCCCTACATTTCTAAATCAGGTAAAAATGATAGGGTGAAGGGTCATTAAATCTCTGATCATCTCATGGCTGCAGCCTCATGTGAAAGAGCCGAGGTGGCGCAGTGGTTAGAGTGCAGTACTGCAAGCCACTTCAGCTGACTGCTATCTGCAGTTCGGCGGTTCAAATCTCACCGGCTCNGGGGCAATATGCTGACTCTGTAAACCGCTTAGAGAGGGCTGAAAGCCCTATGAAGCGGTATATAAGTCTAACTGCTATTGCTATTGCTATCATCTTGCTAAAAAAAAAAAACTGTAAAGAAAAAAGTAAAGGTTTCTCTGTCCAGTCATGTCCTACCATAGGGGGTAGTGCTTATCTCATCTTCTCTGTATTGGTTCATTTAAAAAAAACTATGCACAACTGCCATCATTTCTAACTGGATATTACTTTGTTGTCTGTCTTGTTCTGTCTATCCAAGACACCAAGACACTCTGCAATAGCATGACAGAATTATTGGTAAGGCGTAGGACTTGGTGGCTCAGTGGCTAAGACGCTGAGCTTGTCGATCAGAAAGGTCGGCAGTTTGGCGGCTCGAATCCCCAGCACCACATAACGGCGTGAGCTCCCATTTCTTTTCCCAGCTTCTGCCAATCTAGCAGATCGAAAGCATATAAAAATGCAAGTAAAAAAATAGGAACTGCCTTTGGTGGGAAGGTAACGGAGTTCTGGGCACCTTTGACATTTAGTCACGCCGGTCACATGACCACGGAGACATCTTCGGACAGCGCTGGCTCTTTGGCTTTGAAACAGAGATGAGCACCGCCCCCTAGAGTCGGGAACGACCAGCACATACATGCAAGGGGAACCTTCATCTTTACCTTAGGGAATGCTGGGTATGGATATGATCTCAGCGCTACATTTTCCATTCTCCCAGTCAAGCAGAGAAACACTTGTGGGTCAGGAAAAAAAGGGGAGACACCTCCCATCCCCACCCTGAGATACTGAGTCAAAACCCTGGAGCAGCAGTAATACCCTATTTCAAGACTGGTGATGAGGTAGCCTCATGCACTTTTTTGGAAAGTGCATGAAGAAGAGCCCAGGGAAGCAGAGGAGACTGTCTTGCATAGCAATAGCAATAGCAGTTAGACTTATATACCGCTTCATAGGGCTTTCAGCCCTCTCTAAGCGGTTTACAGAGTCAGCATATCGCCCCCCACAGTCTAAGTCCTCATTTTACCCACCTCGGAAGGATGGAAGGCTGAGTCAACCTTGAGCCGGTGAGATTAGAACCGCTGAACTGCAGATAACAGTCAGCTGAAGTGGCCTGCAGTACTGCACCCTAACCACTGCGCCACCTCGGCTCTAAAGGGAATGTAATCAGTGGACTAGGATGGTTTGGTTTGTGGGGGTTTGGAGCTAAGTCATATTTATCCCCTTCCCAAAACTAATGAAATAATCTGAAGTGCCCATCTCAAAACATTTCTCTGCACAGGAAGCTACCATAGTTGTGACACCAACTAGTTTGTAGGGTTGAGCAAAGGCAGAAAACGGTGAGTCTTTTTTAGTGACAGAAAAGGACAGGCACTTAGCAAGGAGGAGCTAAGTTCAATGTAAAGATGCTATCAATTTTCTATTCTTTTTTCCAATATATTTTAGACTGTTTTTGTTAAAGATTTATATCGTGTATGGGTTCTGGGAAGTCGGGGGAGGGAAGAACCGAGGTGGCGCAGTGGTTAAATGCAGCACTGCAGGCTACTTCAGCTGACTGCAGTTCTGCAGTTCGGCTGTTCAAATCTCACCGGCTCAGGGTTGACTCAGCCTTCCATCCTTCCGAGGTGGGTAAAATGAGGACCCGGATTGTTGTTGGGGGCAATATGCTGACTCTGTAAACTGCTTAGAGAGGGCTGAAAGCCCTATGAGGCGGTATATAAGTCTAACTGCTATTGCTATTGCTATTATTTGCATAGGCCAATTACTTCTCCTTTTTCTCCAACATTTGTACCGGACAATCGTGTTGTGCAAAATCCAGTATGAACTCTGGGCATTTTCCACATTTCACTTAATGTCAGTCCTCCGTGAAAAAGATTAGGAAACACAGACCTTTAAGTGCTCAAATACCAATTAGCAGCAATGCTTAGTTACACCGTATGATTGCATGTCTGCCTGGAAAACCCCAGTGATGCAATAAAGCCTTGACACTGTTCTCCTGGTACAAAGGCCCAAGGGATACAAAACATCATTGCAGAACGTGAATACAAATTTTGTGTTCCCTAAAATGGTAGCTTTTGAACCAATGAGGCTGATTGTGGGCTACTTGGTAAGGAGGTAAAACTTAGTGCCTGATGAGGCTCGTGACCAAAACGCGTTCCACAAAAGCGCGGTCAACGAAATCGCGTATGTGACATCATCACAGCGCGACGAAAAAGATCGAAAAATTGAAATAAAAATTAAATTACAGCAAGCCGATTCACATAAAGGTAAGCGTTAGGTTAAGGGTTAGGGTTAGGTTAAGGGTTAGGGTTAGGTTTAGAGCGTTAGCGTTACGTTTAGCGTTAGGTTAAGGGTTAGCGTTAGGTTTTTCGTTAGGTTAAGGGTTAGGTTTAGGGTTAGGGTTAGGGTTAGGTTAAGGGTTAGGTTTAGGGTTAGGTTTAGGGTTAGGTTAAGGGTTAGGTTAAGGGTTAGGTTTAGGGTTAGGTTTGGGGGGGTTAGGGTAAGGTTTTCGCTTTATTTTTACATTTTTCGATCTTTTTCGTCGCGCTGTGATGATGTCACATAGGAGCTTTCGTCAACCACGATTTTGTCGTCCGCGGTTTTGTGGTGGAACCATGAGGATAACAGAACCTTTGTCATGTGGGTGTTTAAGAAGACCACAAGCCCAATATGCATAGCCTTGAACTTTAATGCTGGAATGACTCAAACACAAACTTGCCCACCGCCCTAATAAATCTTCACATTTTTTTTAAAACAAGCAAGCTGCAGCCACTGGAATGGGAATTTTCCCATATATAATATAAAGCTTTGATGTAGCAATTTGCACTAGGACCACAGCAGATAAAGAAAGCTTTAATACCTCTCTCCCTGATTACCATATGAAATATCATCTCCTTTCTCAGCAGCTGCATTTGCATTTTTTTAAAGTATGCAGGTTGAAGAAAAAAATGCATTTCAGGATAATTTAAGAAGACACAAACATTTTTGGAGTTTCTAAAAGAATGCACAGCTTTTAAAAACTCTAAAAATGCAGGAAATCTTTGAGGGGAAAAAAAAAGACTTGTAAACTGGGTTCCTATTGTGATCCCTTTGGTAAGTCTTTCTTGCAATACTAGTTAAGTTTCATGGAGAATTTCCCTCCAGAGGCAAGGTCTTAGTACAGATAGTCCTTGACTTACAACCAGTCACTTAGAGGCATTTCAAAGTTATAGAATACAGCAGCAGAGTTGGAAGGGACCTTGAAGGTCTTCTAGTCCAAGCCCCTGCCTAGGCAGGAAACCCTACATTATTTCAGACAAATGGACATCCAACATCTTCTTAAAAACTTCCAGTGTTGGAGCATTCACAACTTCTGGAGGCAAGTTGTTCCACTGATTATTCAGCCCTCTCTAAGCGGTTTACAGAGTCAGCATATCGCCCCCACAGTCTGGGTCCTCATTTCACCCACCTCGGAAGAGTGGAAGGCTGAGTCAACCCTGAGCCGGTGAGATTAGAACCGCTGAACTGCAGATAACAGTCAGCTAAAGGGGCCTGCAGTACTGCACCCTAACCACTGCGCCACCTCGGCTCTAAAGGGAATGTAATCAGTGGACTAGGATGGTTTGGTTTGTGGGGGTTTGGAGCTAAGTCATATTTATCCCCTTCCCAAAACTAATGAAATAATCTGAAGCGCCCATCTCAAAACATTTCTCTGCACAGGAAGCTACCATAGTTGTGACACCAACTAGTTTGTAGGGTTGAGCAAAGGCAGAAAACGGTGAGTCTTTTTTAGTGACAGAAAAGGACAGGCACTTAGCAAGGAGGAGCTAAGTTCAATGTAAAGATGCTATCAATTTTCTATTCTTTTTTCCAATATATTTTAGACTGTTTTTGTTAAAGATTTATATCGTGTATGGGTTCTGGGAAGTCGGGGGAGGGAAGAACCGAGGTGGCGCAGTGGTTAAATGCAGCACTGCAGGCTACTTCAGCTGACTGCAGTTCTGCAGTTCGGCTGTTCAAATCTCACCGGCTC